GTATCATTAATCATTATCATTAATTCTATAAATTTATTATTTTTATCCAGAAAACAGGACTGTAGAACCACTATGCTAAAGTATGTATGCAGTACATAGTATTTCATTTTCAACTCCCTACATAGGTGTAACATGTAACCAACATGCAAAAATATAAAAGTTCACTTATACCTTCTCCCATTTTATAGTAGACATTGTTAATAATACCAAACTGCAAATAATATCCGTAAACTTTTTCAAATAAAAACAAGGTGTGTACTGAATCAATGTAGAAATACTTCTTGTTTATTTCAAACTGAATACACATTTTTTGAATAAACTTATAACTTTACAAGTTAAAATCATAAGCACCCATACAAATGAAATGTAACCCATGAAATTTATGTACTCATTGTAATTTATAATTTCTTCTCTATTCAGATGAAACTTCATTTGGAAATAAAAGCTTATGTAAGCTGTATAATCATTGAGTCAGTCGAGTTACTCAATTGCTCATAATAGTTTCTTCTTAGAAATTAGAATCACAGTGGTATTAAATCGTACACATAGTGCGTGATCTGATAAAACGGAGATTGCGTCCTGTCTTCTACGTTCATGTTCAATGATTAAATTCTTCATGAAGATTATTAATAACAACAGTGCTTTATCACTTTTTTGCTAACTCAGTACTCAACCAGTCAAGTCCTTCATATAATCCATGGCCTTGTGTAGCACAAGTGCATTGAATGTACCAATGGCGTCCACGCAACGAATTAAGTCCCAATTTATCTGTGAGTTCTGCCGCTGACATAGCATTTGGTAAATCTTGTTTGTTAGCAAAGACCAGGAGAACTGCATCCCGTAATTCATCTTCTTTTAACATATTTGCTAATTCACGTTCTGCTTCTCCTATACGTTCACGGTCATTGCTATCAACAACGTAAATGAGACCTTGCGTATTTTGGAAGTAGTGTCTCCAAAGCGGTCTGATTTTATCCTGACCACCAACATCCCACACCGTGAAACATATATTTCTATATTCAACAGTTTCAACATTAAAGCCAATGGTAGGTATTGTTGTGACAATTTCACCGAGTTTCAACTTATATAGTATAGTAGTTTTTCCTGCAGCGTCCAGGCCGACCATCAATATTCTCATTTGCTTTTTACCAAAGAGCCGGGTAAATACACTGCTGATTGTTAGGCCCATTTTGTTTGGTAAGGTACCAAATGCTCGAGCCGTTCAGTGTAATATCTTTTTGTTGATATCTATTTTGTTACGGCACTCACTACTGTGTTCCGTCGATAGTATAATGTATCGCATGGGAAACCAATATTCTAAGAATTTAATGCTGTGACGACGTTCTTGACAATGTCGTTAACACACCTTACAGACAATAGTAGCGCAAACGTCATCTCACGGCAGATTATTATTCCGGAAATAGTTGGCAAAATTGACCACGCACGCCAACTTTTATTTATATAAAGGCACCGAATAGAACGTCGTATTGTAATATAAAATCGTAAATATGTATATATATAGATATACATATGCACACAAATAAGTATCTTTCGAAACTATATTCAGCATTAATTAATTAAAACTTACGAGATATCTTATTCCGAAAAAATAAGCAAAGCGAATTCTATGTGATTCGGTGTAGAGCCAATGCACTTTATGTGCGTTCAGGCGCGTTATTTAAATGTTACGTTTTATAACTCACAAATGAAAGCCGTTTAAAAGTTACTAGTAATTACTTTCAAATTATAGTTTATACGCAACTATGATCAAAACATAAATGAAAACTTTAGAAAATTTAATAAAGTTTTCTGTTACGATTATTGCAAGAGTAGATTGAGAATTTACAGATTTTAAGTCTTTGTGTTTACTTTATTCTTATATCACGTTTATGGCATTAAAATCTACTTTTGCAGATTTTGTATTTTATCTGTGTTTTAATCTTTAATATTAGCACAAACGAGGTGTAGAAGTAGACAGTCTTAACTCCTAACGTATTTTTCTGTTTCACAAAAATAGGACTCTAAGACACAGGAAACAACGTTACAAAATATAATAAATTAACATAACAGTAAATCAAACTTCAAAAAACAATGAATTATGTTTCGCATTTGTTTTTTTATATGGTATCGATGCAATAAATTCTACTGAACAATTCTTTTCTCTTGGTTTATTTTGTTATGCATTAATTTTATCATAATTAATAGTGGCGTCTTTTGTGGAGAAAAACAATTGGGGCCTGTACAGCGTCAATTGTTAGTGCAAATGGCAAACACTCGACTGGTAGTCAAATTACTGTCAGTCGACTTTAGCTAACAGTTTGAGCGTTTTGCCACTGCACTAATTGGCGCTATCCGTGCATTTGAAAACAGCAGTAAATTCATACCGAATTTTACATTACCTTTTTTAAGAAAAACAGCACGAATCATTTATTCCGATATTTAAATTGTTTGTAACTAATTAATTAAAACTAAAATACGTGAAAAGTAAGTACGTTGCTAGTGATCTCTTCTAAATTCTCCAATCATAAAAGTGGAAAAAATTCGACATCACGACGATAAAGTATTTTATCATTAGAAGATGTTTGAATTCAACTTGTCTTTTACGAAATCGTGAAATAAATGATAAGAACTCTGAAAAAAGTATATTTTTTATTAGATCTCTGTATTATACATAACTATACAAAGATGAAATGCGAGTTTACGTCGAAAACAGACTTTATAAAAAATTACAATTCAAAAGAAACTCTGTTTCGTTAGTAGTTACACTACGATGGCGGTGTGGCATTTATCGGGAACCTAAATATATATATATATATATAAATAGTTATATATGTATACATAATTCAGTACAAGTATAATTTCTACAAAAAATAATTATTATTTATCTCTCATTATATTAACTGAATAACGAATCAATCAATATCAATTGTATCAATGATTACGATGACGAATAAGCTTGTACATCATTGGAACGAATATTAACTCGCAAGTTCACGCTTAGAGTATCTTTCTCAACAACAAGAAAAATAACACTACATTCAGGAATTACGAGTAGCTTACATCCATCGTTTCGTACGACGTAAACTGTATACATATATATGTTTCTTTCAACAATAATTAAGATATAATAATTTTATAGTCCCTCGATCAGGCTCGGTTTTAGTTTTTTATAGTCAGTTTTTATAGTTAATTAGTTACATATTTTTATATTTATACACATAGGTAAGCGTGAGAGGTCAATACTAACCCCTGATCGCACACGTACGGCACAAACTCGTTAGGTCGATAGAATTGCATAACTTATTAAGGCATTGTTCCATTCTTTCACAGTTCTCTTTTTTTCATAAGTTACATTAAAAATTGTTACGTTTTTTATGATCAAGCGTTTATTTTTTTCTGATAATGGTCTTATCGCGTAGTCAGAGATAAATAACGTCGAGAATTTACAATAAGTTACTATCCGATAGATATATTTAAAGAATATAAATACAATGGAATATTCAATGGAATGTTGAATATGTTTCTTTAATGAACGTATCGAGATATAGTATCTTTTTAAACTTGACTTCTTTTTCTTTTCTTTTGGAACACAAGGAGATCAGATGATACATTTACACTGTATCGATGTGTAAATCAGAGAATTCACATAAATCGAATTCCCTTGCATACAATTAAGTTCGTTAGTTAAGTTTCAGCGCTTTAGAAGATTACTATGTAGATTGTGTTAATTAGGTACTATTAAAATTAATCTCACCGCCCGCAAGTACTCGGGTCAGCGTCCTCTCGATTGGACGAAGTACATGAACGACATAAGAAAAATGGTAACATTCGTTATAAATAATTATAACCGTTAATGTTACTCATTTTGATTGTAGACATACGTTTGGCAACGTACAATAGACAAAGATAGAGAAAGAGAGGGAGGGAGAACATTTACATACAAAAAAGTGCACAGAATGTACAACGACCAACAATTCCGTTCCTTGCTTCCAATAATGAGCAACCAACGAAGAAACATTTGGCACGAGATTCACCTGTATCCCCGTAATTTACAAAAATAATCGGTAATCGAAATCAATTTTTCCAATACCAGATATGCAACAAATAACATTGGGATCAATAGATCTTCGAAATACGATACTCTATATTTTAACAAGATTCTTATGCAATTCGTGCTCTAAGCTTGGGCAGTGTTCAGAACATTTACTCTGGTCGAGAATATCTTTTTTCGTGTCATCAACTATTCAACCTCTTCCTACTTGCCATTACGAACTGATAATATTGTACTTTACGATCCACTTAAAGAAAAGAAATAATTTTCTAGTGTATATACTTTCGCTTAAAACAGATGAAATAAATTTCTCATCAATCGCGTACATAACTTATGCTCGTATGTACATGTTTTGGCACTACGTTACTAAGGCAATTAAAAAGAATCTTTTCAATTCCAAGTGAAAATAATTCCTTGAACGATCTTCCCTTAGTATGCTAGTGATATTCATAGAATGTATGGTTTGAGACATTGATTTGTATGAGTATAGATTTCTTGGATTCTAGGCCAGTTACTGATAGCTGCCATCCACGTGATAATTAAGCACTGAACATTATGTAAACCATAAAATAAGATAACTATTGCGTAGAGCTATAAAATCCGATATAGGTAGAGTCAAGACCTTGTTCAGTTTTAAGTAGCTTACTGCCATTATATGCAAGATTTTCTAGTATAACTTGCGAGGCCCTGAGGCTCTTTGATCTTCCATTCGTCCTGCCTGAAGTCTTTGAATCAGAGCAAAAAGGTCTTCCTCAGGAACCGTGGAACCTGCTTGAGTTCCATTGGCTCTTTGGCTGTGATCTTCTTCGGCATCTTGCACTGTCGAAGAAGCGGGTAGAGGACTTCGTTGATCTTCTAAACGCGAACTCTGTTTATAAAAATAATTAAAACATTAATATGATAAAGTAATTAAAAAGTTATACGCATTTGAATACATACCTGGCACCTAACAAGCATTTCAATAAAGGAATCATCCGCGTCGTGGTTAGTGTTTAAACCGGGCAAATAAGGTAGTGTTACCCGTTGCTCGTCCATTCTTTTACTTTGCATACCCGCAATTAACTCAAAGAATTCCTCTCCATCCCTAAAATTGAAATCACTGAATTCAAATACCGAACCACATGGGACAAAATCTCCATAGCAACACATACTTATCATCTGAATCAGATACTTCAGGCGTGATCGGTCTGAACTTCTGATTTCGGTTTGTGTTCAAAGTACAGCGTTGGTCATCCATTCTCCCAGATTGGAAACGAGACAGAAGATCAAAGAAACTGTCTTCTTCCTTTTGAGTAAATTGTGGAGTCGCATTGTTACTTTTGTCTATTTGAGACTCAGCTTGCTCCTTCAACTTTGCAGGTGTAAGCTGAAAACATTTTGATATTATATTATAGATTCATTATGGATAACATAAACACACATGCAACTAAAAATTACCTTAATAAGATCTAAGTTATCCATACTTTGCCTTCTAAGTCTATACCTACAAGGTGAAGATATATTAACATTCGAACCAGTATTGGTTGATAGTTTCTGTGCAATGTTTTCTTTGTTATTTTCTTGTTGTCCTTTCTCTAAGCCTAGAATTTTTTGAAGATCATCGACATTCATTTGTGCTGTGGCCTGACCCATTGGATCTTCTAATTCTTTAGAGATGTTCAGGTGAAGATTAGCATAATGTAATGCCTTCTCATGATTTCCCATTGCTGCATAAGCATTACCCAAAGACCAACATGCACGTCCCTCACCCACCCTATCTTTAAGTTGCTGAGCTATTTCAAGATGCCACAAATGATACTCTATTGCAGTTGAATAGTCCTTAAGGAGGGTATATGTATTTCCTAACGAGTAGCAAGCTTGTGCTTCTACTTCTCTGTCTCGTAAGTCTTGTGCTAGATCTAAAGTCCTTTTGTAATGTTGTGCAGCCTTTTCAAATTCACCAAGGAATATGTGTGAATTTCCTAAGTTGCTATTTGCCCTCCTCTCAGCAGCTTTGTCTCCAAATTCCTTAGCTATCTTGAGTCTCTCATTGTGATAATAAATTGCTTGTTTAAAATCACCTAACAGGTAGAAAGTGTTTCCTAGATTTCCACAAGCTCTACCCTGAGCAGCAGAATCTTCCAACTCCTTCATCAGCTCTAAATTTTCTTCATAATACTGAACAGCTTGTTCTAGACACTGTCTAACTTCTTCAGAGAATTCTCCAGGATCCTGATGGCCTATCCTACCAGCTTGTTTTCCCTTAGCATGATAAACATTTCCCAAGTTGTATAAAGCTCTTCCTTCACTCAACTTGTCTCCAATTTCTCTAGAAATCTCCAAGTGTCTTTTGCAACAAATAGTAGCTTCATCAAATTTTCCCATTACTTTCAATGTATTTCCCAAGTTTCCACTGGATTTAGCTTCCCCAAGTTTGTCTCCCATATTACGTGCGAGTGTCAAATCCAGTCTATGATATTGCATTGCTTTCACATAATCTCCTAGGTAAAAATACGCGTTTCCCAGTTGACTATAAATTGCACTTAATATCTTTAAATCATGTGTGCCTGCTTGTATCGCAGCTTGAAAGAATGCCACTCCAGACTTGCAATCCCCAGCCTTACAAAGGCGCTCACCCTCAAGTGCCAATTCAAGGCACATATTCCACCTTTCACTGTTCTGTGAAACAAAAAAATAATCACTTTTTTTTTAATTTAACCACTTTATTGACCAAAATCAAGTTTCTATTAGTTTGAAGTATGTTCAAAACTTCTAGAGAAGTAATAATAAAAGAAATCATAAGACATCCTATGAATTATTGCAATATGTTTAACATGAAAAAAATATGTGTGGAAAGGGTATTGGAATGGTCATGGGAGTGGCTGGGTATGCAACTTCAATAAATTAACTGCAGACAAGAACTTGTGTCAATATTCAAAAGTTCGTTTCTTTTAGACATAATATACAACGAAAAGCAAGTTAATGGGAAATATTAATATAATAATTACTAAACGTGCAGTAAACCCATACACGGTGACATGAGGGGAAAACATGTGTGCTGTGTTTTAATAGATTTTATTTTCACTGAAACATATTTGGATCTGTTTACTGAAGAGCCGACATAGAGTGAGGAATATAAAAGAAATCGAACGATTCACAAATAATTACTAGACCCAAAAATGAGATGACAAACCTCGTATGAGTCATGCGAGGAAAAGCAATAATTACAATGGTTCACTGGTTCACTTACTTGCCCTTCGGTTGATAAGTTTTCTGCACTTGCACTTAAAGACATCGTACTCGTCAGGACTTCCTTCTCTCTTTGCAAATTAAGAATCGATCCTCTCTATTTCGCAACCACAAATAACGCGAATCTTACGTGCACAATAGGCAATTATTCAGGCTAGGATAATAATTAAGCACACTCGATTTTCCACGCATTGTGATCCGCACGGTTTTCTTCTTACAATATATTCTTTCACATAATAGCATCTGCGTTTTTTTAACAACTGGAATATGCGTCACTTTTCTTTTGGAATCTGCACCTTATCACCGCACTTTCCGAATACAACTGACCGAAAATTAAGCGTCCAAACAAATGGCGCTTGATGCGTTTGGCTAGTTTGTCAACCAATCACAACGAGCTAATCATTTAACGATAAATCATAGGTTCCGAGGTAACGTACATTGTATATGCATTTTATGTACGCGATCAAAATATGGTAACAAATTATTCGTTAAATTTTGATGAGCATATTCAAGGCACTTTGTTTCCATTTTACTTCCTTCCATTGTACAATATGGGGTGGATTAGGACCTACTGTATGTTAATATTTTTATTTGCCCTCTTGTGGTTATCATAGAAAGTTATTACAGAACATTTTTAGTGGCATCGATAATACAGACTTGTAAACAAAAATCACGTTATGGGAATGATCTTATATGCATTCTAACTTTGCGTATGAACTGCGTGGTGATAGTGGTGACCGGAAGTGTTGTAATGTTACTTAGAGAAAATGTGATAGAACCCGCGAAACTTGTTTGAAGAATAAAAAATGGAATGCCTTTCACTGGTGGTATGGAGTACGGAGTATTGGAGTACAGTACAGATGTTTGGACTTATTATTATACTTAATTAATACGTATTCACAAGAAACACAGTCACTTTGCTGCAGTGTTTATGTATACAACCGTGTTGTCATTGTAAGTTGGATTACAGAAAATGGTAACAACATAAACTTACACAAGCTGTGTCAGAATTATCGGGATATTTGTATCTTTTGAAGGATATTTAATTGCACTTTTTTACTTATGATGTTTTCTTGGAAAAAAGCATTAACAGCTGTTTCTCAATGGCCTGTAAAAAGAATACATACTTCGACTATTTTGTAAGTATCTTGTATTGATACCTACGATACTTATTAATACCATAATCAGTATAATTATTTCACAATACTTTCAGGCAAGAAGCTGTAATAATAGACGGCAACCAGATTGCTAATGAGATACAAAAAGAATTGAAAGTAACTGTTGATACTTTGGTAAAAGATGGGAACAGAAAGCCAAACTTAGTTGCTATAATAGTTGGTAATAATCCAGCTAGTAAATTATATGTTCAAAGTAAAATGAAAGTTGCAAAGTTAATTGGTAAGAAAGAGTGCATGGAACAATTTCATAATGAATTCAATAAGACTATATTAAGGTAAGGTGTAATAATAACAGAGAAATAAATTACATGCAACATTTCTATGTTTCAGGGATTGACAGCTCTACTATCTCTTTTGACGAAAATGTAACACAAGAAGATGTCATTAAAAAAATTAATCATTTAAATAAAAATGAATTGGTAGACGGAATTCTTGTTCAATTGCCATTATCTAATCATATAAATGAAAATGAAATATGCCAAGCAATTGCACCACATAAAGATGTGGATGGGTTTCACTTAGAAAATATAGGTAGATTATCATTAAATCATGATGGCATCATACCTGCAACTGCTCTAGGAGTAAGAGAATTAATAGTTAAGAGTAAGATAAATACTTTTGGAAAAACTGCAGTAGTTGTTGGAAGATCAAAACATGTTGGTTTACCAATTGCCTTACTTCTGCACTCAAGTGGCAAAGGTACTTCTTTCTATACATGTATATTGCATATTTAGGCTTCTACCCTTCTTTTTGCTCTAATATAGGGTTAAAGAAAGATTAGTTTCTTTAAAATTTCGAATTTTGAACTATTTTGTACATATTTTTTAGATTAACATTGATAATTATATATTTATTACCAATGCATAAAAAGTTTCCTAACTACAAAAAACAGCTATTGAAAAACAGCTTTAAAAGTCAGTGTAATTATAAAAGTATAATGTTATGTATGCTCTCTGAATAAAAAATGTTAACAACGATTTAATTTATAGGTAAAACTGGGGCTTTAGACATGACTACAACAATATGTCATCGTCATACTCCCAGGACTGAATTAGCAAAATTGACAAAGTTAGCAGATTTAGTAGTAGTTGCAACTGGTATCCCTGGTTTAATCACTGTGGACATGATAAAACCTGGTGCCTGTATAATTGATGTAGGAATATCAAGAATAAAAGTAGGAAATAAAAACAAACTAGTAGGTGATGTGGATTTTGAAAATGTGAAACAGGTTGCTGGGTATATTACACCTGTGCCAGGAGGTGTTGGTCCAATGACTATAGCCATGCTAATGAAAAATACAATTTCTGTAGCTATAAAGAATTATCAATGTAAAAAATAGTTCTTGAACTGCAAATTGCTACTCTTCATATCCTATTTCAATAAAGAAAAATGGATCGCATGCACTTAAAAGTAATTATAATCAACGTAAAATTAGTAATTGGTTTAAGAATAGTTTTTTTTAATAAAGGCAATTGTATAATATATCACACGTATTATTTTTTTCTCTCAATTCAAAATATTAGTTGATTTAGAGGGGCAAATACTATGACAGACAGAAAAATTTGTTCAAGGTTATATTCTTTGAGATTCCAATTTGAGTAACTTTAAAAAATATACAATATAACACTTATAAAACAATGTAAATTATAGTAGAATTATTATAAATGACTAAAAGTATAATAATTATTAAACAGCATCTTATATCATTATCTTTTTTTAACCATACGATTTTCTTACTGCTTTTATTAACATTAAACTCTGTTCATATGTGGTGAAATGTAATGCTGCTGTTGCTGCAGCTTTTAACTGACTTGGTGCAAGACCTTTGAATAATCCCCTTAGACCTTCTACTTTAACTGTTTGTCTCAAACAGTCTAAAAATCCTGTACAATAAAAAGAACTACCAAAATCTCTTCTAGCATGTTGAAATCCTTGTATTTGTAATCTTTTCCTGCTAAGATCAAGTGGATATACTGCAGTTTTAGCTAATAGACCTGCCATACTGCCAGATATCATAGAATTATAGAAACTTATATTTTTATTACTTGTTTCATTGCTACATCTTCTATACAAATCAGTGAAAAACCCATAAAATGCAAATTGCAAACCACTATGTGGTACAATTTGTAATAAAGTTGGAAATAAACCTTTAAAAAATGTTCTTGGAGATTCCTGTTGAAGAATACAACTGAAAATAAATTTTCTTTTTGTCAGTATTGCAAACTCTTTTTGTCAAGAACTTACCTCAAAGAATGTTTAATTCCCTTATAGACTGGATAGTTACTTGATTGTGCCACAAATCTAGTCCTTATAGTATCAAAAGGAAATGATGTAATTGTAGCTACACAACCTGCACCTGCGCCTGCTATAAATTTTGTTGAAAATTTCCAGTTCTCACATTGTGGAAAGTTTTCAGAAGCTTTCATAAGTATATGATAAGCTTGAAACTGTAAAATGTGTACATTGTTACATACGTATTACTTCAAAATATTTCTGTAATTCTTAAGTTTTACCTGACTTGCCCCATATGTGATTGAAAGAAATTGAGCAGGTACATGTCCTTTCCAAAGTGCACAAATTCCTTCTTCTTTAAATATCAAGAAAAATGTTTGTGCTATGGAATGATATTTGCTGACAAGCTTGTTCTCAATAGGTTCAACTTGTAGCTATAATATAAAATATTTTGTTACAACATATATATATATATATATGAATAAAAAATCTAATAAAAATTAGATTTCAGGTGAAGTTTTGTATATTTATAAAATGTTTACGACAATATATATATATATATATATATTACCTGAAATCTAATTTTTACAACATCTAAAGGTTGACAAATGAATCGTGTTAAAAAACTACTTATAGCTCCTGCTAAAGCATGATCTGTTTTGTAATCGCTTACTTTTATTGTAGCACCCATTTGCATGAAACTGAGTGTACATGTAGTGCAAGGAAGGGCGTTAAAAGTGAGAAAGTGGACAGAGGAAAGTATATATACAGTTATGCAGAGAAGTTTTATTAGGTTTACTAGGTAGCTGGTACGTGAGGGTGAAAATAGCAATGAGTTTTTTATAAGAAAATCGTAGGTGCCTTAGTACTAAAAGGAGACGAGTGAGGTTAGGGCAAGACAGAGAGTGAAAATTTCACCGAAATCGATTAACGCAAAATCAAGTTACAAGTTGCAAACAATCACATGGAGCTGATAAGGAGAGTGGTGAGAGAGAGAGAGAGAGAAAGAAAGAAGAAAAAACAAGACAAAGAAATAGGAGACGCACAGATTCAAAACCAAAACAAAAACCAAAGATACAGCGATATGTACATATACAGTAATGGGACCAACATACTTCTGCACGCTTTTCTTACTTTCTAAGTTGGCGCGTACATCCCCATCATTTTACTAGCATCCAACCGCAGTGGATACTGTTTTAGCGGTGAATCATCAGTCAATCAAAGCAAAGAAAATTTCTATGACAACCCTCGCTAATAGATCAAGCTACGGCCTGGTGATATGCATTCGTAGGTCCCATTACTGTAGTGTACACATATATACAGAAAAATAGAAGAATTAAATAGATTTATAGTTTTATAGGAAAATAATATAATTTAGGTTAAGTCAATGCAATTTAATATTTAGTATCTTTTTAGTATAAATTAAAATTTAAATTATACATGTACAATGATGATAACCCATGGATCTAAAGAACAGTGTATAAACATAATATTTTATATATTACATCTTTGTTGCTATTGAATTTTCGTCGTTGTACATTACTTTTGTTACAAAAAGATATTAATTAATAAGTTAGTTTAGATATTGTTCAACACTACCTTTCTTGATTTACCGCTAGCACATTATTCCGTGTATTCCATAACAATTAGTTAAATTATAACAAAATGTTCCGAAGAACAAAACATGACCAAAAAAATATGTACCCAAAAAACTCGAAACTGATTTATTTTCATAAAATCTGTGTGTGCACGTATGTATGAAATGATATGAAGTAGGAGGATGCAGGATGGTAAATTTAAAATATAATATAATGTCATGATGTAGTCATTATCAGTCAAATTATAGTATGTATTCAAGTAATTTTCATTACGCCATATACAATATTAAATAATATTATTTAATGTTTCTATTTGACATTATAATAGATAATAATATTGTTAATTTCTTCTATAATTAATTTCTTGAATCATTTCGGAAATTTGGGAATAATCATCGAAGTTAATGGGATGTTTTAAATCACAGTAATCCATCACTAATGTTTTTAAATCGTATCCCCAAAGACTTTTCAGCACAAGTTCAATACTTGCTTTGGATGGAATATATGTATGACCTTCTCTAGATATTAAATCCAATTCTTCAATAAACTTTTGCTGTCAACAAAGTATAACATTTAATGAAGCTAAAAATCATTTAGAATATATTAAGAAAATAATTATAATTTTTTAGTCACTTACATGATTTTTCAATCGATACATGTTCCACAATTCTATATATAATTTATGTAAATTTAAAATTATAGTTTCGTGTACTCTGGAAATATTTTCGAAAGTATCGTCGGACATATAAAATTCTTCGGTCTTAGAATCACAATAATTCATTCTTTTAAAGTGCCACTTTTTAAAAAACCTATTTTTTGCATCATTCTGAATATATAAACATTTAACGTTTGTTATGATATCAGGGCTTGTAATAAACACTTCATTACATAACTGTAATAGTTCATCTTCCAAGCCTTCAATTAAGTGGATCACATAATCAGAATAAATGAAAAGTAATCCTGTAATATATTGCGAATTTTTTTCTTTTATTGCTGTATCAAATAATTGTGCAATGTTTTCACAATTTGTAATTTTTGAGCAAAAAATAAGCCTACATACATAGAATTTTTTAATTTCACGAAAGGAATCTAATACAGATTTGCGCACAGGTTCTTCCATTGTTAACACTTGTTTGATCAATAAAATACATGATAACAGGCGAGCTTAAATATAATCATTTCAATCCGTTATTATTTCTTTTATTTAAGCAAAATTAACAATGAATAATTTATTTTGTGACAAAAACGTTAGACGATACAATGACATTTTTGTTATGCAGGTTGAATACATATTTAAATTCATTTAACAGGATGCGTGGGCTATTGATGTGATCGAAAATATCTGGTTTAAAATTTATTATTGATAACTAAAATTTTGATACAGCGACGTGCGACAATTTCTGGAGTGCTTTAAATGTTTAGAAGGTACAGAATTAACAAAATCATTTATTATATAGATCGCCAAGTCTCCGGGTCATGGCGGTTTTGAATTATCCGTCAGATCGATGGAAAGTTAAAAGTCAAACTACATTTTTGTACATGATTAACCTTACTAGAATAAATTATCAAAAAGTTTAAATTCTGATAGATTGAGACTATTTTAATATAAATATAAATATTAGTAAGACATACATGTAAGAAAAGTGTAGCTTCACAGTCATTACACTTAGTGAGTTCTGCAATGTTACTTGACAGACACAAGACTAACAAAACAACTTCGCAACATGACCAAGAACAGAAGTTGGTCATAAAAATATTGGAATGAATACTGATAGTTCTATTAGTACTATTACTTCACATTTTACAGAATTCTTCTGAGACGCGCTAAATAAAGAAGACATTTAAATTATTGTTACAAATTTGAGAAGCTAATATTGAAACTGGCCATTGCAACAAATTTTGAATGTAATAAATTTATGTAATCATTTTATAATTTAAATTTGATTTTAGAAGATTGTCATGAACAGCTTTCTATTAAGTAATTATTTTACTTAATATTCTTAAGCGCGGCATTTAATTACCGTATTCTCTTTTACTTATTCTTAATTTTTTGCGCGTCTTTACAAGTGAGAAAAGTAGAAGTATAATAAACTATTATAACTTAAATTTGTCACGATGTTTCACGTACTTCTTGAAGTTACTCTACCACTAACGATCATAAATAAAAATAACGTATAAAGTCAGCCGAGCACATAACTAAGACATGGTAGTGTAACATACATGGAGAACATTCCCTAGTCACAGATTAAATAAAAATTGTAAGAAGTTTTTAAGTCTCCAAGAAGTTCACTTATTTAGAGATGTGATCAAAAGTTGAAATAAATCAACTAGAGTAGTTTGAACCTCTGCCCATATCAAATCGTTTGTGTGATCCAGAGAACATGTTTTCCCTTCCTCGGCTACTGTATCCCCAACGATCTAAAAATACACAGACAAATATTTATTACTTTATTATGATCACTTAATATAAAGTATTTAACTTTTTTGCTCAATTAAAATACTTACTTCGGCCACCGTAATTTCCACTTCTATCTGCAAGTTCGGACAACTTGGGATTTACTACTTGATTAGCCTCTTTAAGTACATTAATTAGGTCTTTAGCCTGCCGACTGTTTTGTGGTGTAAAGAATGCATAACTTGTCCCCGTACAATTTGATCGGCCGGTTCTACCAATTCTGTGGATGTAGTCTTCAGATGATGACGGATAATCGAAGTTGATCACGTACTTTACATCATCGACATCTAAAGAATTTATTTGATTATAAAAAATACTACTAGAATATTATATTTTTAGAAGTATTAGTTATGTTCGTTATTTTAAAAGTATATGAATTTGTTTAGAAAATGTTCATATTGTTATGTTCTTTTTATCATGACGTTAATCGCATTAAGATAGTAATGTACTATTCAATTTAAAGAAAAAATTTTATTTTTACAGTTTACCCTTCTT